TAAAGGTACTGTATTGTTAATCTCTTGCTGTGTAACAAATGACCCCAAAATTCAGCTGCTTAAAACAACAGACCCTAACTGACTTCAGTTTGTGTGGTGGAGGAATTCTGGCGTGGCTCAGCTGTGTGTTCTGGCTCAAGGTCTCTGACAGAGTTGCGGTTGTCATCTGAAGGCTCGATGGGACGAGGATCCATGTCCCCTTGAGTGGCTGCTGGCAGACCCCCGGCTCTGGGTGGATACGTCATGGGTCTCTCCATAAGGCAGCTCCCAAGATGGCAACTGGCTTTCCTCAGTGCATGGGTGCGGGCACCCAAGACAGAAGCCACAGTCTTGTAGAACTTGATCTCAGGAGCGACATGCCATCCCTTGTGCCACATGGTGCTCATTCGTGTTGAGTGAGTCCAGCCCATACTCAGGAGTAGAGACGATAAACCAGGGTGAATACCAGGAGGGAGGGATCCCTGGGAGCCATCTTAGAGGCTGCCTACCAGGGAGGAAAGCCTGGTGTAGCTGGGATTCGTTATCTGTGATTTTATACACGGGATAGAAATTTCTGACTTGCTTGTTAAAGCTGTGGGAACTGAACCAGGGCAACGGGAGGTCAGATAGTTGCAGGGGAAGGTCGGCTGGTTAGTTTCTAAGAGACCTTTTTTAAATTCATGACTGTACAAGGTCTGTTCCTTCGTCTTGAAGGTTCAGAAGCTTATTCATGCATCTTGCTCCTTCAGTGTGGAAGATTGTGGCGTGCTCTTAGATGCACCTTCGGAGGGCCTGGTATTGAGGAGGGAAGGCCAGTGGTTGGATTTCTGAAGAGCTGTGCAGACATCAATCAGATTGGATGGCCATATGCTTCTGATCAGCAGGATCTCCTTGTGGAGGAAGACAGCCTCACTCATGCAAAGATCAGATCATTGGGAGCGTACCAGCAGGCCGTGCTGTTCACACATCCGTCACGCCTTAGATGTGTCCTAGCGCCGGGCTCTGCTAATCAGCCCCATCCAGCTTCGTGCTGGGGGTGTCTGCCCTGCCTTGGCAGGCACTGCTATTGCTGGTCCAACTTGTCTAAGTGCAGCCTCCTCTCACATGCTGTTTTCTTACTTAAGATCAACTTCGGTGTTTTGTTGTTGAAATCCAGCATTTGCACGTAGCCTTACCATGGAAGACCTGGTGCTTCTAGCCACCACACCCTCTGCCATTTCCCTCTCCCCACAAGCAGCTGCTTCAAACCTTTTAATGGATTGTTCTGGGAGTTACTTTGATGCCTCTGAATAGTACGGTCTCGCGCTGCTTGTTGATTGCGCAGCTGGACGTTTCTCCCTTGATTTCTCACCGTGGAACAGGAAGGATAGCTTTTCCAGCCCTCCGCCCCCTTAGCTCCCCTCTCCCCGCCGACCCCCAGCACAGACGCGCCATCTTTCTGGTTTGATTCCTGGGCCATGGTTACATTATTAGGACTCTGAAAATGCTATCCAGCTGAGCTGTGAGGTACATGATCATTATTTTCACACAACTTTAAAATTCCTTTTGAGTTAATATCTGAAAAAAAAAATTGGTTCGTGTTGTGTGAACTCCTTACTAACCCAAATGCAAGTGCTGTCTCACGGAGATTGCTGTATGTTAAAAACCGGGCACCTGTCCATTTGATCCTGAGACCGTCTCTCCTGCGGTGCTGGGACTCGCTGTGGCCAGAGGAAGCCTGGCTGCTCTGAGGGCCTGTTTCCTCCAGTTTGCTACTCCCACTGCTGCTCCTTTATTCAGAGAAAATTCACGTGCCGTACAGTTCACCCCTAGGAAGTGCACGGTCTGCACCTCTCTGTGAATCCAGTGTGTTTCATCACCCCAAAGAGGAGCCCTATACCCATTAGCACCCCATCCCTCCTTCCTCCTGGTCCCTGGAAACCAAATGTGTTCTTGACATTGTGTATAAGTGGGATCCTGCTGTCTTGTGGCCTTTCATGTCTGTCGGGGCATCTTTCCCTTCACAGGATGCTTTCAGGGTGCAGCCGCATCTGTGATGGCTGTGTGGGTTCTGTCCACTTTTTGGTTATTATTAATAATTTTCTCACTTCTGTGTTGTATCCTCTATTTCCTAGAAGCTCTGCTTTTTTCTTAGATTTCTTCTCCTCCTGTTTTGGTTGGAGGCCAGGTTAAGATTTTTGAAAGGTGGTGTGTCTGAGGATGTTGTCACCTTCTTACCCGAGGGCTTGGCTTGGTACGTAATTTAGGATGTTGACAGGATCACTTACTTGCTTTCTAGCTTGCTGTGTTGCTGTTTAGAGATGCTGTGTCATTTCTAATTGTCTATCCTTTGTGCAAGTTCTCCCTCCACTCCAAAAGGTAGTGTCCACTTCCTCTTTTCCCTTGTGTTCTGAAATCCCCTGGGAGGTGTCTGAGCGTGGTTTCCCCCCCTCGAGGTGTGCTCAGCAAGCTCGTTCGTCCCCACATGACTGGCTCTTGGTTCTGGGGCGTTTTCTTGAATTAAGTCTTTGATTTCCTTGTCTCTGTCCCCTCCCCGCCCCCTACTTTCTTGGGTTCTTCTCAAATGGTAACTCTCCATTTCCTTTTTTGTTTTCCTTTTTGTTATCCTTTGGCTCTATTTTCTGGAAATTTTCTTACCTTCTCTGCTTTGTATCCAGTGTTCCATTTCTTTTGTCACAGTTTTGCTTTACAAAAGAGCTTTTTTTTTTCTTCCTTTATGTGTGCTGCTTTTTCTTCTTTTTAAATACCTCCCTGTTCCTGTTTTCAACTCTACCATCTTCTCTCTCTGGGATTATTACTGACAGTTTGCTTTTCAAGTCTTCTTTTTCCCTAAACTGGGGGTCTTTTCCTTAAAAGTTGTTTTCTCTGTCTGTTGATTCTGGTCCCTGTTTCCCAGCCTAAGAGCTTGTCTCAGCCGTGCGGTGCCTTCTGGCCGGCCCCACACAAGTAGGAGTGGGACACGGAACAGCTAATGGTGTGCAGTGCTTGGCTCCTGGTGGGGCGAGCTGGCTCTGCCATTTCACCGGAGAGACCCTCACATGGGTCCCTTGAGGGCTTTTTCTTCAGCCTCTTAGATTCCCAGGACAGTATTTTTTACTCCCTGCTTAGAGATAGGTCTATGTTGGCTGCTGGCTTCTCTGGGAATGGGCAAAGAATGAAAGAAGTTCAGCAGTATTATTTCTTCTATTTCCCGCTGGGTACCCTGACCTTCCCCTTGGTCCAGAGCTACACTTTTACCTTCTTTGGAGAATAAACCCCTACTTTCCTGCAGATTGCTGCTTAAACAGACTTTGTATCTCTTCACTGCCAGCCCCATGCTTACCACCAGTTCTGGAAGTGTCTCGTATTAGGGGTTTATCAGCCGTTGGCAAGTTGTCTCACGTTAATCAGGTTGAATGTTCCTCTGACCCCATTACAGCCAAGAAGAAAGCTTACTCAGGCCTGTCATGCTCCTTACCAGTGATCTGCCTGCTTCTCAGCTTCTAGAATTTTGTCATCTGGTTTCCTCTCTCATATCTTGTTTTCTCAAGGGTGGTGCTATTAGAATTTTTAAAAATGGGCATTTTAATGGAACTCTGAGGGCATGTGAATGTAAATTAATGTATTCAGTCTGTCAACTTTAACTGGAAGCCCTGGAAATTTTCTCTTAATACTTATTTCAGGTTGCAGAGGGTTACTGGGTCACCGTCCACAGCAGTGGCTGGAGCTGTTTTGACTCCTGGGATGGGAGCATCTTCGGGTTCATTCCAGCGTGTTGGGTGTCGTCATTCAGGGCCGTGCTGCCTCGGGCGCTCGAGCTCGCTGTGGCTTAGGCGGTGGGGGGGGGGGCTGACGGCAGAGATGCACGTAGCGCAGGTGCAGGACCCCCATTTTTGCTCAGCCTTTGCCCACTTGCCCATTCTTCCCAGGCTCTCAAATCCCAGTTCCCCGGGGCTGGCCTTCATTACCATCTGCTCCCGCCTTGGGGGGCATCCTGGACTTTGCTCTCCCGGAACACACAGGGGACAGAATCTGCTTAGTCGGTGTTTGTTTTCAGACTTTGAGGCTAATCCGTATTTCTGATACACGCCATTGGGGGTTTCCTGCAGATTGCTGCAGGTGTTCCCCTGCCTGTGTTCCCGATTTTCTTGGAATTCGCCTGCTCGTTCCCAGTCCTAACTTCCTGCTCTTCCCCACAAAGTGAGCATTTATGGACGTGTCCCTGAAAGGAGGAACAACACCCACTGGTGTCTACTGTGCTATTAACTCTTGCATTGATCTGGAAGCCAGTCTCTTGTTAGGATGTCCTTGCATTGTCATTATGCATCGATTTCAGAGCTTTTCCCGAAGCTGTCTGGCTTCCTCTCTACATACGGTTTATAAATGGCGATTCTTAGCGGCTCTTCCTGTACTCTGACCCCCTCTGCCATTGACGTTGAGCTGTAGGCAGATGATGCTGCCCTGGGAAACTTTTTTGTTAGAGAAAGAGAAATGTGACCATGGTAAAAGATGGAAGCGCAGGCCCTTTTGTCAACGTGTTGTCTGTTTTGCCCCCAAACGAGAAGTAGTAATAGGATTATTCCCCAGACTCAGGTGCATCTGTCTCTGTGACTGTTGTTCCGTTTTTATTTTTATTTTAAAGATTGTATTTATTTATTTGACACAGAGAGAGACACAGCGAGAGAGGGAACACAAGCAGGGGGATGGGAGAGGGAGAAGCAGGCTTCCCACCGAGCAGGGAGCCCGATGTGGGTCTCGATCCCAGGACCCTGGGATCATGACCTGAGCTGAAGGCAGACGCTTAATGACTGAGCCACCCAGGCGCTCCACCATTTTTAAATACAGCTTATTATTCACTTCATCGTACTCCTGTGAAAATGTTGTGGTGTGATCCCTGGGCCAAGACCCTTCATCTCTCCCCCATGCCCTAAAAAGAGCTTCTCTTTGGAGAAGCCATTGGCAAGAAGGAAAAAAATTTTAACTGGGAGAATAACTTTCAATTACTGCTAAACCGTTTATGGGGTTTCTTTCTTTCCCTAAAGTTGTACCAAATCTTTGGAACGTTGATGGAGAAGTTGCAGTCACTGAGCAGAAGCCTGGCGAAGTGGCCGAGGAGCTGGCGAGCTCCTACGAAAGAAAGCTCATTGAGGTAAGGCTGGAGGCCTCTCTGCGTTTACTCCGTGTTGGCTGCCCTTGGGGACATTACGGGAACAGGGCCAGCCTCTTATGCAGATGTTAGCAGCACAATCTGACGCTACTCCCCTCCCACTGCCAACAAGACAAAACACAAAATGGTAAAAGCATTGTACTTGATGAAGAAAACTAAGAGCTGGTTCTTTAGAAATCTTAAATTAGACACCTTTGGTGCCTATGGCAAGGAAATAGAGAAAACACAAATATGTCATGTTAAAAATAGGAAAAATGTACTTTTGGATTTGGAGATTAAAAGCAGGAGAGACTATCACAAACAACTCTGATGCTGACAAATGTGCAAATGTGGATGACATGGACTATTTCCTAGGATAATGTTTATTATCAAAATTAATTGACGATGCAGCCTACTTATCTGGAGGGCATCCAAAAACCGGAAGAAAGTTGTAAAAATAAAGGAGGTGCCCTAGGAGGTAGCAAACCTGGATGGCTTCATAGTGGTTTCTAGGAAGGCTTTCAAGGAATGTACAAACAGCCCTTTGCTCTTTGTACTTCCTTAAAGCCTTTTCTCTGTCTTTATGTATATCTGTATCTTGGTTCCAGTGTGCATTACTCCAGTGTCACAGAAGCTGACAAAGACAGCCTAAAAAGAAACTACAGCCCAGTCTCACTTGTGCATCAATGCATAAAAATTCTAGAAAGGTATTGCCCAGTCAAACCCAGTTGTATATGAAAGGACCAATCCACATGAAATTGGGATTAATTTAGGATCTCAAGGATGACTTCATGTTAGGAAATTCATCGAGTCAGCTTACTGATAGACTACAGGCTAAACACCAGATACAGATCTTGTTTGCTACCAAACATTCATCATCCATATCTAATGAAAATACTTTTTATTGAAGTAGAGTTGACACACAACGTTACATTAGTTTTATGTACACAACAGAGTAATTTGACAACTTGATGATAAAAATACTCTTGATCAAGAAGAAGGGTACTTCTTTAATAGGATAAAGTGTATGTGTGTTTGTTTGTTTGCTTGTTTTCAAAAATCATTAATTGCCACCATACTCAGTGGTAAAGCTGGAAGGCCAAGTTTTCAAATAGGCAACTAATAGATAAAATACATATATGTAGGTGTGTGTATATGTTGTGGTCACATGATGGTGGTATTGATTTTGAATCCTGTTTGTTTGTATACATACATGCATATAAGTGTATGACTATACTTGCAGTGCTTTGTGAATATTCTACAGTACATTTTATTTTTGCAATCAGAAAAACACCTGCCATTGCCATGGAGACATGCCTGACCTCAGGGTAGGTTTTAGAAACCGGGCTCTTTGAGGAGGAGCCCCCTACGCTTGTTCCTGGTTCAGGCTGACCATCTTGCAGTCTGTTTCACCTGGTTCCTAATGACCTCTAAAGAAGGGAGGTGAGAAACAGTTTGAAATCTAACTGAAGGGAGCTCAAAGGGGGAGATGAGCTGGGGTCTTAGCATAATAGGCTGATAGGGGAAGAGTTACAAACCAGGATGGAAGTGCCTGGAGGTTGAGGGGGGACCTGATCCTTCAGGGCCTTTCCTGACCCTAGTGCCCATCCTCGCAGTCTCATGCAGTGAGGTGGTTGACCAGAGTTGGCTGGTGGTGATGCCAGGTGCTGGGCCATCATTCCATTCGCAGAAAGCCTGGGTAGAGAGAGGAGACTGGGCTGTGTACCCTCAGGGTTGTGTCAGCCTGTGTGTTTGTCTCCCCTAGGACCTCCGGTCCCTGGAGGGCAGAGACCATGTCTTTTTCATCTGTGTATACTCAGCTACCATTTCTTGGCAGATGGTAAATGCTAAATAACCCTTGAATGCATGTATTTTAAGTTCTCCTAGGACACGGATGTCTCTGGTTTGTTGAATGAATGAAGAGTTGATGAGCTAGGGAGGGTGGCAGGGTTCTTAGCAGAGTGAAAGTGGGTTGGTAGCCCGTGTTCCTTCAGGAAACCCAGGGCAAGGTGTTCAGTTGTAAGGACTTTGTCAGACCTGCACATACTTTAGAGGCTGATGCTCATGTCTCGGGGCTCTGGTGAGCCTGCTGAGCACTGGGCGGGGGTGGGAGGGGGCAGCGTTCTACCTGTAGGTTCTACCAGGTAGAAAGCTGACCTGCTCATCAGTAACTCCAGCTCTGGAGGGTTCAAGAAGACCGTGACTGGCCACTTGACCCACTGAACAAAGCACCATAGTTCATTGGTTGGGTGGGAGCTGGGTTGGTTGTTGGAGTGTTTTTTTGAGTCCCTGCTTTCTGCATAGGGGATGGCAAGGACAAAGGTCCTGCACAGGGGAAGAGTTGGCAGGTTCGAGGACCAGAAAGGAGACCCCAGGTCTGGCCCAGAGCAGACGGGGAGAGCGGTGGCGCTGTGGCTGCCGAAGTTGGTGGGCCAGATGACAGGGCCTTAGAGGCCGTGTTGTGGCTGTGCCACCACCCGCTTTGGTGGTGACAAGAGTCTCACTGTCTCACTGCACAGACTTGAGTGATATGCAGGGAAGACAACCACGTGATGCGAAGTTCCTGTCCAGTTCACTGGGATTGTTGTTCTTGTTAGCTGTCACATCAGAGGGAGTGGTGGTTGGGGTATAAGGATCTCTTGTCGGCCTTAACTTCCTGTCTGGTCCTCTGTGACTCCCTTACCCAGTAATAGAGTGGGTGGCTGTTGTTGAGGAGCTGAAAGAGATGTGAACTTGAAGCAGAGATGTTCTCCTTCGGCGTTTACTGCCCCAGGCTGATATTTCATTATTTTCTGTTGGCAGAGTGAATGGCCAGTCATCTTTCCTCTCTGAGTATTAATAGCATCTCATTACGCCAAGACCTTTGCTGAACCCTTTAGGTTAGCAGTAATCAAGTGCTTTACAACATTCTTTGTGATGCTCATCTGTCATTTTGTCAGTGGTTGGTTTTTACCCAAGGAGTTCTAAACACATGTCGACTGGAGTAATGAAAGCATGTGGGGGAAGAGTTGATGTACTTCCTTCCATTTCAGAAGGGCAGAAGAAGAGGCATTTCATTTTATGTAATAGGACTATTCAAAGAACCCCCACAGTTGAATTGCTCTTTTGTGATTCATCCCAATGAAAAAGGAATTCCTGAACATTCTTTCTTTAGTTGTCTCTCAGAGCCTTAAAACCACCTCGTCCACCTGCACACACGTACGCTGCACACGGCACATGAGTGCTCAGGGACCTGACACCCGCACTGCCTACAGCTCAATACCCAAAGTCAACATTGTAAGCTATCTTTCAGTGGCTGGAGAGCATCGGGGACCAAGGACTGGAGATGGAGAGATTGTTCTGACACCCTTGAAGACGAGAAGGAAAGCAAAATGCTGGCAGGGGTAGGTTCATCTGGCAGGGGAGAAACCGAATATAAAAGCACGAATTACCCAACAGCCACTGCGATACAGGCAGCTAGCTGTCAGGTGCACACTTATGTCCAAGCACTGCGCTAAGGCTTACACGTAGATCAACTCACGTGATCCTCAGCAGCCTTTCTTGAGGAGGATGCCATTCCCAGATGGAGCTTTGAGAAACTGAGTAAGGTGCCCAAGATTTCTCGGCTTGGTAGGAAGCAGGGCTGGATTCAGATCACGCAGGCTGTCCAGCAGCAGAGCACAAACCTGTATTCTGTCTGCCTGCTCCAGAAGGCCATGCTCGCGGAAGAAACCAAAGGTGGACCTGGCAGAGGAGTAGGGACCGCCCCTGGTCCCGGTGGAGAGAATGGGGGGCAGGAGGAAAACAAGCAGTAGAGAGGAGGGAGGGTGCGACACGAGAGGTTTGCGGCAGTGCTGGGAGGGGCACGCCCCACACTCTTAGTGACAGCAGAAGGGAGCCAGCACCTCTGGGCAGGAATTACCTGCTTCTGAAGCAAATGTAATAGAACGCCAGGCTGGGAGCTCCTTGAGGGAACTGTAGATGATACCTTTTTAATTGTGTATTAATTGCCTAACACGATTCTAGCATCCAGTAGGAGCTCCTTAAATATTGAACAGAACGTCAGTCTACAGAGAGGATTCAGCTGTTCAGTATAGTGTTTATAAATAAAGTGGTAGATGTGACTTGGGAAGTCCCGGATGGAGCGTGTGTAGTACGGGGCACCACTGTAGCTCAGGATACGGGGCTAGTGGGAGATAACATGGGTTCTTTAGAGGAGGCAGACTCTTCTAACATTCAATTTTGGGAGGAGTTTTAGCCTGGAGGGTCTAGAGACGACCTCGAGGGACGGATGGATAATTCCAACAACTTCAGCATGTGTTTATTGAGGGCCTTCTAGGTGGCCAGGCTTCCTCTTCCACCCTTCTCGTCTCACGGATTTCCCACCCCCAGGAGCAGTAGAGTTGATGGTTCTAGGAGGTGATTCGTGGGAGCTGTGAGTCAAGGCAGAGATGGTCCCGGAAGGGCATTTACTTCCCTAGATTGACTTTTCCTTCTTTTTTGATGGCAGTGTCATTGATGTTTCATCGCTGGGTAGCATTAGCTCTTCATTGCCCCCCACGCTGGTCCTTGGTCACAAACAGGAGTAAGATGCTGTGCCTGTCTTTGGGAAGCTCCCAGCCTGGGGGGTGAGGCAGGCACGTCTGTTAGGATCATCAGGGAGCAGGGTTGAAGCGCAGATGTAGAGTTAGGACTCATGGGTTCCTAGGGCCATGTCCTTACCGACTGTTCTGCAGAGCTCAGGCACTTTATGGGAGCTTCTAGAACATGTTCCTCCCTTTTTCTTTGGGACTGTTAGTAATGAAGCTTGGAATTTCTTCTGTAAACTTCCCATCTGTCTTGAAGATCTAGACATCAGGGGAAATGGATTTCTTGTCACCAAGGGTTTTGAAGATAAAAAGATAATGGACATGTCCAAGAAAGATCTAAGATGCTTCTTTACTTCTTTTAAGTACAATTCCTTTGGTTTAGACTCTCCTGTAGAGATTTTCCCATTCTTCTCCAGCCGTTGTTGTCAAGAAAAA